TATTTTATATATATCTTATTTATACACATATCCTAAAGGTAATTTTATGCAGTATTTTTAGCATGCATGCATCCTGACTGTGGCCCACTGTATGATAATGGGTATGAAATTTTACACTTGTAGGATCACTTTAGTACCCTAAAAGTTTCAGATTGTAGAGCATTCAGATTTCAGATTTTCAGATTAATGATGTTCAACCTGTACATTGCAAAGTACTTTACTAGCTTTAGTATGAATAACATCATATTTTTATTATATTTTTTACTTATGTTAAATATTAGTTGAAAAATAAGATGAGTTTTCTTTTTAAATTTTGTTACATCATGCTACTCAAAACACTCTTCTAGATGGTCAAAGAAGTTAGTATGTATTTAGTCTTAAAAAACTGGTTCACCCTTAACCCTTAATTTACTTATTCTTGACAGAGTATGAACTAGTAAGTGCTAGTTGTTATTATGGTCATGAATTAAAAATTTAACAACAATGAAAACCATGGAAATATACTTAAGATATTAAAATAGAAAATATTATTTTGAAAAATGGCCCATTTAAAACAATGTGTATTTCTTTATTAAAAGGATATTTGCTATATTTATGTCAACCTGGTAATCTTTTAGATATTAAAAATATTTTGAAACCAGGTCCTTCACATTGACCTATATCCCCAGGCCTTTTCTTATTCTTTATTTTATAGTGAGGTCTCACTAGGTAGCCAAGTTACCCACCTAGGCTCCAACTTGAGATCTTCCTGACTCAGCCTCCCAGCATGCTTAGATTACAAGCATGTGCAAACACTGAGCTTACATTTACAATTTTAAATGGCAATAAACCAGTATATTTTAAATACATAAGATCTGTAAATCTAAAATTTAAGTAAACATACTATGAATATATGTGCTACACCATGGTAAAATTCCTCATATAATTTTTAAAAATAAAATTTAAAACATTCAGTGAGAGAAGGCATATACATAAGTGAAGTGTGTACTAAATAAGTGAATTTAGTGAATTCCTTGAACTTCATTTTTTAAACAAAGAAAACATTTCCATATTAGATGTACTAACCTGGAGTAAGCAAACAATCTACTATCCCAAAGCTCATGAGTCCCTCTAGGTCCAGAATGGAAATAACAGGAATCGGTCCCATCAAACATATTCAATCCATCTTCTGCATTTTTGGAAGCATGACTATGCACCACATCTAAGAGGACTATGATACCCATTGAATGAGCTGTGTCAACAAGTTCTTTTAGGTCTTCAGGAGTTCCATAGCGACTAAAGGTAAAGAACACAACAAAAACATTACATTATAATTAAAGCAAATGGCCAATGGTGCATCATTTTACCCAGTATATTACTAAATATTTTAAATATGCAGTATATGATACTTACATACAACTTAAAATGGCTTAGTACTTGTTACTAAACAAATTTAAAAGGATCAGATAAAAATAAATCAAGCTATTAAGTGTAGCTTTTTATACCCTAAAAAAAATTCATATTTTGAGCATGTAAATCAGTAATACTCTACTTCTCTATCCTCAGAGATTCCTATTTCCAACTCTAATCCTAGCCAGTCATAGTCATTCAAACTCACATGTCTGTCCACCTCTTTGAGGGTAGAAAGTTGCCTTGAAGATATGGGCTTTTAGAGTATTTCCTTGAATCCCAATAATGCCTTCACTAAGACCATCCCATCTCCACTTGTTCAAACACTGGAATGTGCTCAGTTACCAGTGGACCAAGAGAATAAGCCTTTGGGGCCTGGCGTGGCTCCCAGCCTGGAGGAGGCATCTGGGTAGGCTTGTCGTGGCTCCAGCCTGGAAGAGGCTTCTGGGTAGGCATGCCACAGCTCCCAGCCTGGAGGAGGCTTCTGGGTAGGTGTTCCACAGCTCCAGCACAGAGAAGGCCTCCGGGTCGGCGTGCCTCTGCTGCCAGCCCAGAGGAAACTTCCAAGTCAGCGTGGCACAGCTCCCAGCCAGGAGGAGGATTCCAGGTAGGCGTACCTCGGCTCCCAGCATGGAAGAGGCTTCCGGGTAGGCAAACCATGGCTCCTAGTCTGGAGGAGGTTTCCAGGTAGGCATACCACAGCTCCCAACACAGAGCAGGTGAGCCACTTGGGCTCCAGGAACGCCCCCCCCAACCCCGTTGAAATGAGAAGACATGTAAACAAGCCTCAGAACCAGACTTCAAGATCAACTACAGCCACAACAAAAGGAAATGTGATGGAACAAACTGATACTCAACCACCTGGACTCCCTGAACTGGCAATGAAA